ACCCGGGTACCTGCCTCAAAAATCCAATATTTTTGACACCCGCACCCGCACCCGCACCTGCTAGGGCCGCCAGGGCAGGTACCCGGGTACCTGCACCGGGTACCTGCGGGTACCTGGACCATTTTTGCAGGCAAATATACCCAGAAATATCACCCTTGAATTTCTGCATGACTTGGTAAATATAAGATTGATATTCACTAGATATATGAGTAAGAATAAAATAAAAATAAAGAAATAAAGAAAAAAAATTATTCTATCACCAATTTGAATTTTATCTTCTCTCTGATCTATCTTTAGCTTTACCCTTTTGCTTGGCCTCATTTGCCTTATTCAATGTCCATTGATGAAGACTATACACCATCTTTATGACTGGATGAATTCCTCCAGTCATCAAGACTGTACACCATCTCAAAGGCCGGAGGGAACCCTACGGCCTCAACAAAGCAACCAGATTAGTTCAGCAACACATGTAAGACACCAGCTGGTGTCCTACATGGGTAGCTGACACCTTTGTGCAGCCCAACACACCCAAAAAAGGGAGTGTTGGACCACCAATGATAAATTAAATTCTTCAGGGGAAGCATTCCCAGGGCGGGTGTAAGGCGGGTACCCGGGTACCTGCCTTTTTTTACCGCAAATGTTGACACCCGCACCCGCACCCGCACCTGTTTTTACCGCAAATTTTGACACCCGCACCCGCACCCGGTACCTGTTTCCGGGTACCTGCTTTGGAAAACAGGTACCTGCAAACGGGTACCGGGTACCTGCAAAGGGGTACCTGCTGACATCTCTAAAGCTCAACACTTTCCACAGTAACATGTCAACAAAATAACCAGACTTCCAACTTATCTTCCCCCTCCCCCTCAACAAGTTTCAACTCCCACTGCTGTGGATATCAATGCTATCACGGCAAGTATTGGTTTCTCTTTTTCCACTTATTGCTCTCTTTGGTTAGAAGGCATACAATGAGACTCACATAAATTAATAATACAATGAGACTCACATAAATTAATACAGAAGTTTCAATGAAAGACAAACTCAACCTCTTTTCCTGACTCTTGTGAGGCAACCCTCCAACCACACACCTCACCCAAATCAGTCTGGCATCTGCCTTCTTTTCAGTTCCTACTGGTTCTTGGGATCACATTAGCCCTGGTTCTTTTGCCAATATGTTAATGTATGTATGTGATGAGGATGGCAATCCCATTGATGTTGATGGCAATTTCATCTCTTTGATTTCTTCTTTATCATCTCATACCCCTTTTCCATCTTCCCATTCTCCCTCTAGACTAGTTCTTTTGATCCAGCTTCTTCTTCCTGGAAACAATTCAACCATAGCACTGGCACTCATTTCTCCAAAGCTGGAAATTCTTTTATCAACCACAATTTTGTAAGATCAAAGAACCTTGAGTTAACTTATTTGGATATTCCTTTCTCTTGTAGAAGCTTTGATGGCTCACCACTTTCTCAGGCAAAGTCACAAAGTGTTGGCGCAGACGCATAGCTTTATTGGACTGCCTTAATCATTCCTCTTTGCCTTCTGTAGCTCTCAATGTTGTCTCTCTATCTTCTGTTGATGTAATTCTTGGTCTTCCTTGGCTCAAAGGGAACCACGCTTGGGCTGGGGGTTCCAACGGACAATTGTATTTTGAACCATCTTCTCTTTGTAACTCATCCCTTCCAGTCTCTTCTCACTTGCTCAATATCTCTTCTATCACTAATAATATTCATCTGATTATCAAAGAAATTATGTCTTTACCTCCCAAGCTTCATTCATTTTCTGATGTTTTTATAGTTTCTAGTTTGCAATCTCTACCTCCTGCTTGGCCACAATTTGACCTTAAGGTTCAGCTTAAGGGTTCCCCTTGACCTGCGGGTGGAAGCTATTCCCGCTTATCATGATGATACTCTTGTGGCCCATCCGGGAATTTCTTGTACTGTTTATTTATTACTATGCACATTTGACTGGCCTTCTTTTCGAAAAGATGTGATCTTGTTTGTTGGCTCTTGTGATTCCTTTCAACAGGTTCGGTTTTTGAGGCAGATCCCTACTGGGACTCTCCAGCCTCTACCTATGCCTTCTTGACCTTGGAGTGTAATTGGGATGGACTTTATCACCAAACTCCTTATTTCCCAAGGATTTGATTCTATTCTAGTTGTTATTGAACTGCTCAGGAAAGCAGCCCATTTTATTCCCACTAAAGAAACCATTACAGCACAAGATTTGGCTACCTTTTTTTGTAGGGAGATTTTTTTGGCTGCATGGGTTCATCAGTTGTTTTTCCCTTCTCCCTCTTTTCTTCATGACAATATTTTTGTTTTCTCTTACTATCATTGCATTCTGGAAAACTATTATTATCACCTTTAAAGCATCTCATTATCACTCTGATAAGACCTTTGCCTTCTAGCTGTCATTTGCTTGTCTGTCCAAAATTCTTCTAGGACATGTTGTCTTTGGAGTGTCCACTGTAATACCCTATTTATTACAATATGCAGAAAACTAACTGAATATGTGAAGGTGCCTGCCAACATGTACATCTGTGATTTTACAAATCCTTTCCCCAATGCCCCATTATCTTCTTCCTGAGCCAACTCCTACCATCCAGCTCTTCACCAAAATACTCTCTTGGGGCCATTTTCCCTCAGTCAACCATGCGCTTCTCAAGATCAACAATGTTCTTTTTGACTGTCTCCTTGGGGTCTTGCAAACACGACTGGATGGTACGACTGCTTGGATTGAATTTACCCTTTATCATTGTGCTCTACAAAGCACAATAATAGCTTGCTGCCCAATTCAAGAGGTAAGTCTGATGTCAAATGTTATTTGCCAAGCAAATTACCTTCCTTTTATTTGACTGACCTGGAAACTTCTCCCTTTTTGTGTGGATGATGCCCATGAATAGTGAGGATGAGAAACCCAAAACCGGGCACACATAAAACTTATTGGTGTGTCCCAAAAGAATTGAAACACTGCTGTCCAGTATCCCTAGTGAATGTTGCAAGAGTAAATAGAATAATATTATTGTAATTGTATCACTGATGAGGGGAGAAGTAGGTGAAACTGACCATGAACTGTTTATTTTGGCCTTCAGGAGCATAGCAACAATTTTAGAGACCAAATGTTCACTTTGATGTGCCAAAACAAGTAACCCACTAAACTTCTCCTATGTCTACACCTCTCTTGATTATTTGGCAATCAAAGGGCTCTATAACCCCTCCAGTGCCTCATGAAATCCAACATGTGGCTAAACTTAGAAACCACTAGTATGACATTCATCCTCCTCAAGGTGTCATATCATAGAAGCACCCCTAAAAATTCACTCTTTCAACTTTTGATGACACTTTATCTAATTATAGTTGAATCCTACAATGATGCTTCACTTTTCTAATTGTCAAACCACACTGTAGACTGGTTTTTTGACTCCTTTAAAAATTAGATGTAAGCCTCCTGTATATAAATTAGCCTTGCACCAACAATATAACTGATATGATGCACGCATAGGCATCACATTGCATTGGGCCTTTATTGCATCACATCAAGAGAGTGATGTGGAGCCCTGCATCACATCTGCATTGGATTCTTTGATACAGAGCATTGGTATCCCATTGGAAAAGCAATGTGATGCAATGCACTTTAATTTGGTGGCATTGGTTTGCATTGCTTTCCAATACAATGCTGATGCAATCCATCACTTTCTTGATGCAATGCCAATCAACGGTGGGCCGCTACGCTACACTATGCTATTTGGCCACTAACTGTTAGTGTAGCGGCCTTTTTTTTCTCCGGAAAATCTGTAGTGTTAGCTACCGCTGAACACCGCTGAGATAACAGCCAGCGTAGCGTGATTTTTCTCTCTCAAATTTTCTGTAGTGTTAGTGTCAAATAATCTCCACTAAACTAACCAATAGCGTAACTTTTTTTACACTAACAAAATTTCCGCTAAACAGTAGCGTAACTGAAATCAAGCTAACATTTAGCGTAACTCATAATAAGTCCAGCTACACTACGCTACACTACACATGTAGTTACGCTACGCTACACTACACATGTAGTTACGCTACGCTACAGTAGAAGTTACACTACACACGTAGCGTAGTGTAACATACCACTCAGAAAAATTAATACGCTCAGTGGGAATTGAACCCGTGACCCAAAAGGATTGCGCTGGCGTGACCCAAAAGGATTGCGCTGGCATGTGGTCTGGGAGTACTCTGTAAGCTCCTCCCAGACCACATGACTAACACTACCCTGAGAGTAGGGGGGTTGATAAGCGCACGCCAATCTGCACGCCAGCTGCAGATTGGTGTGTGCGCCTGCACACCATTGCAGAATGGCGTGCAGGCAGGCACGCCACTTGCCTGCAGGGGGTATACCCTGCAGGTTGGCGTGCGTGCCTGCACGCCAGGCTGTCCCATAGGACCCAGGCATGGGTCCTATGGGACGGCCCCGCTGTTTTTTTTTTTCTTTTTTTTTTCTTTTTTTCAAACCCCCTCGGCCCAGAGAGGCCGAGGTCACACCGCCGGGAGGAACCCCTCCCGGCGAGCCTGTGTACATGCCAGCTTGTCGGAAGGAATCCCTTCCGACGAGCTGGCTTTCAAACCAGCTTGTCGGAAGGAAACCCTTCCGACGAGCGGGTACATAACCCAGCTCGTTGGGAGGGGTCCCTCCCGGCGAGCTGGTACAAAATCCAGCTCGTTCGCTCCGGAACTCCGCCCCCGTCGTCGACCCCCTCCATAATAACTTCGTGATCTTCTTCTTCGACCATTCTGGATCATCGCCGATATACGTATCGCTGTATTGTTCCAAGGGCGTCACTAATATGTTGCTCTGCGTCCTGTACACACACACACAACAAACATTTTTTTTTTCAGTGGTTTGTTTATAACTCAGATGTAAGAAAACAAAAACACAGACGTGGTCTTGGCAAAAGTGAACAAGGGAACTAGTTCGACGTTATCAGTCCCCGCAGCACTGGTGAATCCATGCAACTTCATACTCTCAGGATGGCCGCAAATCTCCATGGCTTTCAAATGATCGTAGATAAACGACTTGGTTCCCCCGTTATTCTTGTTCCTCATTCCGGGCGGGTTAATGGACTGATTAGCATCCATTGTCCCATCTTGATGTGGAGGAGCAGGGAATGAATGACGTGGATTATAATCAATAAAGTGAGAGCTGTATTGATGATCTTTGTTATACAAGATTGAAGAAGAAGGGTGATGAGGATGAGGGAGCAAAGGAGGTCTAGTGCTCTGGATGCAAAGACTGGCTGGTCGAGGAGGTATATCTGGTGGCGGGGGCGAGCTTCTCGGCGGGTCGAGATCGACTGTTAGTTCCTTACTCAATGGCGACTATCAAAAAAAAACATATCGTTTCAATTCTTTAACGAACCACAATAAAGATAGATGAAAAACTGACAAATATGCTGTTGCTGTTACCAATCGTCGGTTTTTTGAGAACAGATACATGGGGTTGGTGGTGATGGAAATGGGTCTGAGAATGAGGCGAGTGATGGTGATGAAGATGAGAAGAGGGCGAGTGAGAGCTGCGGTCCTCTGATTGATGATATTCTCCGTTTGGTGGTTGATTTTCAGGTTGGTCACCGGAGAGACTGTGATCCCCGCCGGATGGTGAATGATGAGTCTCGCTTGAAGCAGATATTGAAGGAGCTTGCTGAGATTGATGATTTGAATCAGTGTCACAAAAGTTTACCGGGCTGCTTCTGATGATCTCAGTAAGCTGAGCCTTGAGAGATCGTGGGCGATCATGAGAAGGAGATTGAGAAGGAGGGGCGGGCAAATGAGAGGTAGTAGAAGGTCTCGTCGGGAGGGGTTCCTCCCGGCGAGCTGGTTTGAAAGC